CTATGATTTTAGTTCAAATTATCAAATCATGTTCTCCTTGACCAATGCTTCCAGTGCTAGTTTGCCAATTCCAGCTTTCTGTTATGGGTTTTTTTTTTCTTCTCTATCTTATTGATTTCTATGTTGGCTATACCATAGGAAGCATTATCTGTTCCAAGTTGTAACTCATTAATCTGTACTGTAGAAATTCTGAATTTGAAAAGAAAAACCGAATTTCAAGTTATACTTTTTTAATATTGGCTTGTGAGCCTAAAATCTTTAAACTTTTTGATAACATTAGTGATTAGCCATTGTCATATTATGTTTGCTTGTAGTAAAGCTAATACTTTATGAACTCATAATTTTTTTGTAATATGATGGTGGGATGGAAATGAGTTTTTTTGGCCATATTGTACTTCCAAAATGGTTGTGGTGCAGGTTGTGAAAAGCTTCTCATCTGGTAAAAAGGAGGGTGGGGATTTTGTTGCCGCCTGTGTGTCACCTAAAGGTGAATGGATATACTGTGTAGGCGAGGACAGGTAATGCTTGAAATTATTCGTTTAAGAAACATAAGATTTAGATTGTAAAGGCCGAATCAACTTGTAAATCCTCCAAGGGAAGCAAATCTCTTTAACCTGCTCTTATTTGGCTTGATTAGAAGAGGGGTTTTAGTTTTAGCTTGGGAACTTGACATGTTTATTATTGTTGTAATTTTGTGGCAGCTTATTTTTAAAAAAGTAACTAATGAAAAGGTCATGGTAAGTTATTTTCACTGTTTCTTGTTTGGTAGATATGGTTGGCCTAAAAATGTAGACATTCTGAGAAGCCTCACTACATTGGAATAAACAGATCAATGATTACAAATTGTTCCCTTTGAATTTGAACAATTGCATATATATGTTTGTTATGTGGTAACATCCCACAACAATTAAGTTCAAAATTTTGATGTGGCCCTATATTCGAGTTGGGTTAACCAGCAATTGTCAATTTGTTATGTGTTATATGGTATCAGAAAACAAGTTGTTTGTTGACCCTTTTTTGTTACTGGTGTCTTTGTTTTAGTTGTTAGTATTCGGCCAGCACACGAGTTAAAGTATTAAGTATTGCTATTCCTCAGTGGTTAAGTTTGGAGTTTATTATTATCATATTTTCAAGTTGGAATTCTCTACTTATTGCCAATTGGTTTTAGCCGGATGCTTTAGAAGGTTTATTGCGAATTTTCTTTTTCTTATTTAGAAGTGGCAAAATTTGAGCCAACCTGAGTTACCTGACACAACCCGGCTGAAACCAAACCCAACGATAACCCAATAATACACAAATGCACTTGTGCTCATGACTCCCAAGATTCTCTCTCCACTCTTTATGGTAGTGCTTCCTGGAATTGCGGGGTGAAGCTTTTCAAGTGCTTTCTCATGTTGCAGGTGTTTTTTGTCTAGCTATTATCATTCTTCCTCTCACTTTTGCTTGTCCACTAGATATTCTTTTCCTCCCTCTAAGTCATTGCTCTAAGGTGTTTGATGTATTATGGCAATTTAGTTTTTGTTACATTTTTTTAAAAGTAGAAGTGGGAGCTGATTTTATTGGGGTTGAAAGTTGTTGGCTGCTATACACTTTGGCTCTGGTTGTTTTTTTATTCTCTATAGGATGGATTTTATGGTTGTTTATTCTCCTTCTGATTGTGGGCTCGTTTACTTATTTCTTCTATTAATAAATTTATCTTGCCTTTAAAATAAAAACTGAAATCCTTTTCTTCCCTCAAATCCCCAATCTCATGTTTCTTACCCCTTGAACTAAGAAGATGACTTAAGCCTTCAAAACCTATTATTTCTTCTAACAATGGGGCAAATTTAAACTAACCACTGATCCTATGCGACAGACTGCAAGAATTCTAATTCCATGTGGCCAGAATCATTTAGTTTGAGTTTTAATTTTTACTTCTTCTGTCATGGTGTATTGATCTTGACTCTGCTATGGTAAATGTGGTCCAGAAAGCCTCCAGTGTGGGATTTGTTGCAGTGGAAGAATCAAGCCTTGTGGCTGCAAATGACTTAACTGTTAACCCATTTATCCCTTGGACATAATTTATCAGTTATTGAGTAGAATAAGCATCCTTTTTCTCATTGGAGGCCACTATATCCTTTGGTTGTGAAGTTGGGGTACAGTTGTAATTTCAAGCATTACTGTCTTCTATGGGGAACTTATAATTTTTGCTACTTGATTAGCATGATTTGCCCCTTTTTGCTACTGAATGTATGCAAATTTTACTTGCTTAATAATGGCTCTAAATGTAACATATTTTGGCATTTTTAACTTGTTTTTGATTTCGTTCCTATTAATATCTGCAGGAATATGTACTGCTTCAGCCACCAAACTGGAAAACTAGAGCATCTAATGACGGTAAGCACTCAGTTTGAGGCTAAGTTTTTGTTGATCTAACACTTTAAGGCTTCTCTTACTTTCACTTTTGGAATTTTAAATTCAGTTTTCTTTTCTTTTTTCCAAAATTTTCTAAAAGGTAAAATGAGTGGTGTATCTCCATTTTCGTTCAAGTGAACTTTATTCTAATTTAACTAGAACTAGAAGTCAAGCTTTAGGAAAAGAAAAATGAAATTGGTTGGGTGGTATAATTTAGATGGTTTGTGTACTATTACCATAATATTATGGTTTAAAGCCATTACATAAGTTAATTTTGGAAGTCAAAAAAAATGAAAATAAAAACAATAAAAATCAAGTTAGAATGATGTATATATTCTTCAATCCTTTTGTCCAGGAGCTTAATATGTGAGTATCTTTGGGGAATTCTACTCATCCTTTATACAAATTTACCAAATGTGAATGAGAATCCCTTTTGCATTGACTGCCCATCCTTCTAATTACCTGTAACCGAAAAACTCTCCAAGTGAGATATGATGGGCTTTTGAGAAGGAAAAGGTGGTGGGTGTTGGTAGCTCAGAAAGTTTCTCTGTTCTGCTTGATGTTGACCATGGGAGTAAAGATGTTATAGGGCTTCTTGTGGCGATTGGCGGTGTCCTGAACCGAAGATGGTGTTTAAGAGTTGGGTGTTGGCTAAGTTATGCATGTTTGAAGGTGTGCACCTTGGCTGTATTCTTCCTCTTGGTGATTTAGTAAGATAATTAATATATTAGAACAAGAGCATAAGGAAAGTAATCTATTGAAGTCATAACAGTCTGAACAATAATTTCGTATTGTTAGTTACATTGAACCTTTGTGTCAAGTCGGCATGATATGTACTATAACTCTACATAACGTAATATTTGTTGTCTGTTTATGGCAATGGCAGGTCCATGAAAAGGATGTAATTGGTATTACTCATCATCCCCACAGGAATCTTGTTGCTACATATGCTGAAGATTGCACCATGAAATTATGGAAGTCATAGATTCAATTATCTGTTCTTTCATGTTTTATTCTTTACTTTAGAAAATTTAGCTTTTCGACATGTTATGTATGTTCTTGGTAAGCTATTACAAGTTGTGATGTTGTTGGCTTCCGTGTAAAAAAGTGAGTGTCTTGTTTGAAGAGAACCCAAATATTTGATTGATGGCCTCCTTAACTATTTAGATAGAGAATTAGAACAGAAATGTGCTCACACTTAACTTTCTTCTTTAAACTAATGAATGTCATATGGCTTTTAGCTGGACAGCTGCTTTCAGGTGTTGATGGCTTGTGCTATTGTGCAATCTAATCGTAAATTAGTCTTTGCCACAGTTTATTTCCCATTTGAATTTCTGGTGATCACACATTTGAAGGCATTCCATTCCTATTACTCTCATTAAGACCAAGTTTATGTTTCAATTTTGTTCCTTATTGTCAATTAAGAAGCTCATTAATAGTACTTATCATTCAAGTCTAAGGATTCTTTGTAGCATGCAATGTGCAGCTGCTGGCTTTGTGTTTATTTTTCAATTGGGGAGGTACAAGGAGAATCAAGATTCAAACTTGAGTTTCAATTTCTTAGGGAGGGCGGCGGTGTCGGCGGCGGCCACCCTGTTCGCCTCTCTTTGGAGGTGTTTGGTGTTGGATATGCTTAAATATCATTTTTAACAAGATTATTACTCTCTTTTCAAAAGATTAACTCAATAGGGTGTGCAATGTCATTGTTTATAACTATGAGAGCAAAGCTTGAATGGATTTCCTAAAAAAAAATAATATTGATAATAAATCAAAGATAGTTGGGCCAGTTGTAAATGAAACGATTCTAGGATTTCTATTATGGGATCCTTCATCTTGTCCAACTTTTATAAATGAAAGGTTAAAGGTTTGAATCCAACAAATAATTTTTCATGTTTTGACTTCAAAACAAGATAAATGAAGAATAATTTTCTTAATAATTGAGTTGAACAAAGCCAACGCGAGCATGGTCGTAGGATATTAAATTTTTTATGTTTGATCGAATGCTGTATGTATAATATCAAAATTCATATTGTTTTTCGTTAATATTGTGCTAATGAGCACAGTAGGACCCTCTTTAAGAAATTACAACAATAAATAATATTTTCTCTCAATACAATAAAATTTATCAAATTAAACACTGAGATATTGATAAACAAAACTCATTTTTAAAAGTGTTGTACTATTTATGTGTTAGGGAAAATATCAGCATCAGTGTGTATGTGTGCATGCATCAAAGCATGGACGAAATTCAAGAATCAAAGGATAGAGTTGTTGGCTTCTTGTAGTCTTCCAATACTGTTTGTCAAGTTCCAAAACAGGTAAACCCTTCATTAATATCTCTGCTTCATTCTCTTCATGATGTCAAAGTCAGTCAAAAATCGCCTAATTATCTGTGAATGACGCTCCATTAATCCATGCAAATTGCATGCTTACGAGCAGAAGAAGAAGAAGACATTAATTAGGAACAATTAATTCAATTAATTTCTGGTTTGAGCTACTAGCCAGTGCATTACTAGTATAAATACTCTAAAACATTTCACACTTTCTTGAATCATTTTACAGCCTTGAATTTTCTTTATTAAACCAAAAAAGTACAACCTTTCCAAATGGGTGGCAAAGGTAAAGGAGGAGGAGCTGCTGGGAAAGGTGGCGGCGGTGGTGCTAGCGCTGCTGGAAAAGGTGGAGGAGGAGGAGGTGTGGGGTCAGGAATGATGGTAGCACCAGGGAGTAGAGGTGCAACATATATTTCGAGGGACTCTTTTGAGAGCAACACCAAGGGTTACTTCTCTGGGCTGCATTCGAGCGAGAAGGGCAACAAATAGATCTTCTAGAGGGCTGCTGGAAGACAGTTTCATGTATTGTAGTAGTACATGACTAATTACTAAATAAAATTATGCCATAACTTCTTTCAGTCTATCCTCTTGGTCTCATATATATATATATATCTTCTTAGATTTGATGCTATTTTTCTTTTTTTGAATGGAAATTATTATTTAATTACAGTGGTTGAATAGACTTTTCTCGAAAGTTTGATGAAATCATGAAGTTGGTATACATGTGCAATGTCTCCCAAATTTATCCAAATTCTTTCTTTAAACCATATATGGTTATTACATTTATAATTGGAAGTTAAATGTATTGAAAGAAAATATTTAATGTATGCAAAAAATTTTGGGTTTTATTTTTTTGTCAATTTTAGTCTTTGTTTCTTAATTTCAATGATTTTTTTTACGGAAAAGATAAATTACAAATGACAAAACTATCAACCAAATAGATTTTAATTAATCTGATATGATTATTTAGAATACAAAGTGTTTGTTTCTTTTATGATGCTCAACTTTAATGTTTTGTGTATTTATGAAAAAAAAAAAAAAAAGGCAGAAAGAATTTGATAAGCCCATAAAATTGCCGACCTCCAAAATAGTCTGACACCATTATAAAAGGTATTATCAATTTTGTCTGTTTAATATATATATATATATATATATAGTTTGAGGAAAAAGGAAATGTACCAACTACAAAATGTGTGGTAGCACAACCACAACCTTGCTGAAGAATACAGACAGATGCCAAATTTTTGCTACCTGCCTAAAATAAAAAATTTTCTATTTTGTCCAATTTCTCAAAGTTGTGTAAGTGGCTTTCCCTGCTTTACAATAGAATGTGATTGTTGAACATAAATGTTCTTTTATTAATAAGGAAAATCATTGATGGTCTATAACAATGTCCCCCTGATTAGAAAATTTTGTTTTATAAATCCATGAAGGTAAATTGTACTCAACAACTAGTACTAGTCAAATAAAATAAGGTTTTGCAGCCAATATAAAAGAACTAAAACCATTTGCACCTAACCCAAATCTCACATTTCAATTTTTCATTACAAAAGACTAATGACCTCGATTGAAGTGCTGTCATGCCTCCCTCACCATCAACAGGGTGTCTAAGCACTCCATCGTTACATTGGTTATGTCCATGCCATATTATATGTTCAATAATTTGTTTTGACATATAAAGCTTTTAAAGTCTTAATATAAGCAGCAAGTAATAGAAGATCTTGCGAAAGGAATTTTCCTTTTACTTCCTTGCTTGATTTGGTGGGTTTATATTGAAGATCATCAGTTTCTTTATAAACAACATGCAATTATTCTTATAAGTATATAACAAAGTCTAAATTTTGTTATCTTTTCTTCATTGTATAAAAGATTTTGGGTAAAGCCTTGATAGACGGTAGCATATTCTTAATGATGCCTATAAGATGATCAAAACAAGACTCACTTATGTTAAACTCAGACTTACAATTCAAAAATTGTGGCATAGCTGATTGTGTGCTTTGTATAACCTGACTAGAACAGTTAATTTGCATAATTTAACAAAAAGTAGAAGCTATCTGTGTTTGGATTTAAATTTTTCCTCCTCATACCTTAACTCATTCTCAGGGCATACAGCGCCTTTAACCTTTCTAGATAATGGATTTTGTACTTCCTTCCAACACATTAGCTCAAACTCATCTCTACTTCTTGATAATTGTCCAATTTCATATTCTCCATTTACATAGCATCTCATGTAAGCACTAGTGAAACCCTTATAATAAAAGTGTCTCTCCAGATATGTGAGGAAGATATATAGATTTATTGAATAAATAATAAAGTGTTTGTCTTGCAAGCTTGGCTTACATAAAGTAGAGAACAAGTGTTTGACAAATAAACACATGAAATAGATCGTCAAGGAAGTGTTGTTATTCATTAGTTGGTGCTATATCTTGTCAGATATAATTACTGTTATTCAAGTTGTCTTATCTTATGAATCATTTTTAAGTAAAATCTATTTTTAAATTTCGAATTTAAATAATGTAGTCCAAGTGGGAGATTACTAAAGTTTCTTAAATAATAAAGTGTGGACTTACATTATTTAATTTATTTTACCTTTTTATCAAAAACATGCTAAACTTGTTTGGTTTTGATAAAGTGGTAATTTATAACCCATATGATCTAATAAAGTGGGTTAGACTCTAATATTAAATGTGGACTTAAGAGTATAAGCCTATGTAGAAAATCTTATAAATCCTAATAGATAGAACTAATGATTCACCATATAAAGGAAATGTTAGGTCTCATCTCTTGTCTACACAAAAACATTAAGATGCTCACTATTGGAGAGTTAATCAATCAAGGAGGGGGAAGATTTTAGTGCACGGAATCTAAACAATCAATCTAATCAAAATTGTTTTCACAATCAAATTAGTATTAATTAATTATACATAAACTCGATTCTTTTTGGCCCAAAAACAGTGAGTGGCCTTAAAAACCTCGATTCTATAAGGCTCCCAATCATCTTTACGTTGTGTAATTATAAAATGCATTAAATCATATTGTACATAGAAAATAAAAGATTCAACTTTATTAAGTTAATGCAAAGTGTTTGAGATTTTCCCTCTGTTGCTATTGTCAATGTGAGGCAATTATTTGTTAGACACAGAGCCAAGCTAACAATCGACATAAATGGTACCTCTTCGGTTCCACTGCCTCATTTTCTTCAAGTAATTCAAACAAGAGAATCGTACACTCTCCGTCCCCCTTTCCTTTTCTTTCCTCCCCTTCGCTCATGGAATTCCCAAACACAGTGTTGGGTATATCATGCAAATGACTTTAAATAAATATAATCCTTTCAATTAATGAAATTGTTTTATTTTTGTATTTTGCTTATCAAAATATTCTACAATGTTGATGAAACAAATGTACATGTTTAATTAATTTCCTCACTTGGTATTTATGAATATAGTAAAATCTCTATAAATTAATACCATTGGATCATAAAAATTTATTAATTAATCAAGATATTATTTAATGGATAAATTAATAATTTATTAATTTATATATTAATTAATAAAAAATTATTTTATTAAGGTATTCTTTATTTTTTTTCAAAACATTGAACTTAATACATGTATTGTGTATTGTGATTATATGAATATTACTTAATTATTAAATTACGAATTATCATTATTCGTGATGAGCAAATTAATGAGAACGTTATGGAAAATGACAAAGAAGATAATAGTTTTGTAATAGAACTTGTCTTGCACAAAGATGCACTTAAAGCAACAATCACATTACATAATTTTTTTCTTGCAATATGAGTACATTATATCAAAGCTTCTTAATGCACTAAAAAATATTAGAGATGAAGTCCAAGAAAGACATCAATTTAAAAAAAAAAAAACAAGTAACATTGGAGTCATATTTTATAAAAGACTTCTAATTGAGTCATGTATATATATAATTTTGATATATAAGGAGATTATTAATTTATATATTAAGTGGGACCTATGTGTTCATTTTTAAATGTATTTTTTTTATAAATTTAGCAAATTATTAATTTACCATGTTGGTTTCAAGTCGAGAATGATAAAAAATATTATTTAATTGAGGTTATTAATTTATCGAGTATTAATTTATAAAGGTTTTACTATAATTTGCTTCAATAAAACTTTATATTTAGCACAAATATTTATGAGGAATTACAACCAAAAATTAATTTGCATGCTATCATACATCAATTTTTTTTTTTTAGAAAGCTACAATACATCAATTGTTAGGACTTAGATCTAAAATGGCACGGTGAGATTTAACCATTAGGAGATAGTTACCTTATATTACATAGCTCAAGGAAACACTTCAATGGCTAGGACTTGAAACTTCAACTTAGAGAGTATAAGGTGGGAGATAGCTACTTCTCATTGTATAACTTAATATACATTATTTATATATATATATATATATTAACTAATAATGAAAATACTACTAACTAGTTAAATCTTTTAGAAACAAAATTTAATGAAAATATTATGTTATAGACTTATAGAGATACTTATAGTCAAAGGATAGGTCTACAATGAAAATACAAGGCAATTTATCCATAATTATTTTCCATAAGGACTAGGCATTAACTGAGCCTCCCATATAGGATTAATTTATGGTATAAAGATAAATAGGTGAGAGAAAGATATGAATAGATAATGCATAGATTTAGGATAAATTTAGAGAAAAGGTTGTGGTTTGTAGGTTTTTTGCTATATTCGAGTATATAGTTTAATGATAAATACATAGTTTCCTTACACAAAAATATATAAAAAAAAGATGTTCCACTAATTCATATTCATTATTATAAATAACATAGCTATCCCCTCTTCCTAAGTTCATACCCTTCTTCTAGTGAGCTCTTACTTCATAGCCCCTCTACCCAACAACAACTGCCACCACAGATTTTTAAGAAAAAGAGGTAGACAACTAGTGCGAAAGTATTAAGGCCCCATATAGATTACAGCTAAAGTGAGGAAGACCTCTTAGAAAATTAATCCACCCAAGTGGATGAAGGTGCATTTAGTGTTTTACATCAGCAACTTGAAGCTGTTCCATGCAAATTCAACAAATGCAAGCAGGAGTCAAGCCACATGAGCTACCATTACCACCAAACCACCATCACAACGCCATTAGAATGGATTCTTGCAGAGAGGATGACCATAATCAACTAATGACCAACACAAGAGTATTTGGTAAAATGGAAAGGTTTGGGACAAATGAAATCATTTGGAAGAAGGAAGTCGATCTTCGCACCTTCAAGTAGAAAATTGGAGAGTTCTAAGTCAACCAATCAATGAGTACATCGATAGATTGAGTAGGGGAAGATGTCATAAGCCAACCTTGTATAAGGCTACAATAGGGTAGAACTGTCTAGCAGATTAAGTCTTTTGTACCCTTAGAGGAGAGTTTTCCATTTTAAACATTGTAATGGCACTTGGTGACATCTCCAAAAATACTTGTTA